AATTCTTTATGAAATAACTAAAGGTCCGTGGCAACGCGGCGAATCATTTTAATGGGCTGGCAACACATAAAATTAAAATTAAAATTCTTTGTGCGTTGGTGAAATAAAAAACAATTTTAAAAATTTTTACAATTTAAATTTGACAATGATAAAATGGTGCAACAGAACGAATATAGGCATATTTGTACATATAGTATTGAGTATTTTCTCATAAATATCTGAAACTTAAATTTTGGTTTAATAATTATGACTATGTGGCAGGATATAAATTTTATTGCAAATAAATTAGTGTATTAGCAAATATTTAGATCTACGCAACTACAAATGCTAATTAGCGAATAAATATTATTTATTTTTAAGCGTTTTATGCTCTTCTCTACATACCATAAGCAGGTGCCGAAGCGTATTTCACAGAGGCAGCCGGCGCAGCAGCGACATAGCTATGCGCGAGAGCAGCAGGCGCGGCGTAATGTCCATAAGCCGGGGCAGAAGCGGCGTAATGCAGAGCTGGAGCGTGTGCAGTTTGGTAGCTAATAGCCGGAGCATGATAGCTGGCCGGTGCAGCATATGCGATGCCATGGGAAAGCGCGGGGCAGCATGGGCGTACGCAGCGTAGCAGGTGCAGCATAGCTATGGCTGAGGGTGGCCGCCGGCGCGGTGTAGCCATGCGCGGCATAAGTGGCTGCCGGCGCGGTATAGCCATGCGCGGCGTAGCCATGCGCAGCGTAGGCAGCAACGGGGGCAGCATAAGCATGGGCAACAGGTGCAGCGGCGGCGACTACGTGACCTTATTGTTTTTTTTTTTTCATTTACGTTCATTTGTTAGCACAGAATTAGAGGGTGTGCATAAGTATTTATGTAGGAAAGAGTGTGCATGTGTGCGTGTGTGTGTGCGTGTGTAAGTAAAATTGCAAGACAGTGCAGAAGAAGCAACAAAACATAAGTGCAAAGTGAGTTATGACAGTGCGAAAAATAGTAAAGTGTGTGCGAAACGGCGTGTTACATATGAAAGTGTGCAAAAATATGAAATAAATTTAATTGTTAATCATTAAATATAGAATAATAAAAATTGTCTCAAGCTCAACTTTGCTGTGCAATAAAAATCGCGCAATTTCCAACTTACCGCCAATATGTGGCGCAATGCCTGCATCGTTGCTAATACTGGAGCGTTGAACGTGCGATTGTGAGTGCGCAGTTTGCACGGCGCTGGAGTAGTCCGATTGCGAAGATTGGCCGTAATGTCCCTTCACGGTATGCTCTTGTGTGTTACCCACTGAGGCGTGATCCACGCTGGGCGCAGAGATGGAATAGGCCGCTGGGCCACCGGGCCTGGCATGCGCGCAAGCAATCACAGCGGCAATTACGAAAATAACCTGAAATGAGTGAACGTAAACGTATGTATATACATAAATGAAAGGGCAATAAAATGCAAGTGAAACAAATTTTAAGAGCAAAGCATAGTTTTAGGCGCTCAGCAGCCGTTTGAAAATAGCCGTATAAAAGGCACATTTGGTGTAATTAATTGTTGCATGAGCAGGATTTTATGATTGCACAGACAGTTGCCGACGGCCAACTTGTCGAACAAACGACAGAGGGCGAGAGATGGCGCGGCGCGTGAGTCGGTGAGTACATAATACCGCTTGTTTTACGCTCTTCTGTCGTAGTGTGTGTAACTTTTTGGCAATTCGTTAAAATTTGAAAACTTTTTCTCAGCACCGCTACTTAGTTGCCTTCATTTTGGTTTCGAAACTCCATGAAATGTATGCGAAATGTTTAAAGTTTTAATTAATCTTGCCGGAATTTCGGAAATCTTGATAATATTGCGATACGACCAGGTATGCTGGTTCTACTTACTCGTACATACATATGAATGTAAGTATGTAACTCTAGAAATTTTACTGCTAACACACTTTAATGACATTTGGTATGTATGTATATTAGACTGGTCCAAAGAAAAGTAAGGTCGAAAATTTAATGCTCTCAACGCCTAGAATTGTTTTGTACCGAAAAAATATAGCTTTTTTTTAAACCAAATAGATCGCTCAAAGTACTCAAATAGAAAATAAAATTTTTCGTAAAAATGATATAGAATCCTTGAAATGCCTTTTTTCAATCAGCAAACTCCTAGGTGGTGAGAGCTTTAAAATCCCAACTTTAATTTTCTTACATGCATTTTTGGAGCACCCTAATGCACATACATACTTGTGTGCATATGTAGTTGGAATTCGACGTTCAAATACTACGCTCATTTGCGACGTCTCTAATGCCCAAATTACAAACTACACAAACTACAATTTTCATGGGGACATAGTATGCAGAAAAGTTGCAAACAAAATTTTGAGTATCGAGAAGCAAACTGTCATTGAAAAGAAATTTTAAAGTTTAATCAACGAATAGCATAAAGTGCATTACTTACTGTGAAGCCAATCGAACGAAAATATGTTGTGATAGCCAGAGCTGGCAAAAATATGCATAAAAATTTTTTTTTTAAAGCTTTGAAAAGTTCGATAAATAAACAATGTCTTAAATATGCTAAAGTAAAAATGAATTGTGTTTATTCGTTATATGGAAGTAAATGCAACAAAAAAAATTTTAAAAAATTACGGCACTTTTTAGACATTGACAGTGACTTGCACATCATCAGGCTAAAATTGAATGGGCTATAAAATTGTATATTTAAGAAAATTCTAACACTTTTGAAAAAAAGAAAGGTGAATATTTGTTGCAATTTTTTTTTAGCTTTTACAAAGTCTTAAACTTGGTTTTATGTGGGTTTTGTTAGAGTATGAACCACATTTTGATTGAAAATTCTTAAAAATGAATAAGTAAACTTAAATGGCAAACAATATCACACTGAAATTGGTGTGATTTAGATGTGACCAAAACTATATCTAGGATTTTATTTGGTAACAACAAATGTTCATTCACATACAGCATGGTTACTCATACGCCCTGCCATACCAAATACTTATTCCGAAGTTCATGCAATCTACCAAAGAAATAACCTTGTTAAAGCACTGTTTATAACTAAAAATGCAAGCAAGTACAAAGAGTGTCAACTTGTTCTCTATCAAATTTGTATATTTATGTGTAAGCATATTTGCCTTTAAGTGTAAAAGTATTGCACATACTTAAGTGGATGCATATATGCATTTTTCCACTCAATAATCTTCAGCAGCCGCATGTCAGCTGGTACGATTGGCATTTATTTTTATTTTCATTTTTATTTTGATTCTGATTACTGCCACAAACGTTAGTGGGAACTTTTACAACTGTGCTATCAAAATATGTTGTAGATTGTGTGGTTATTTTCAATTTATTTCGAAAGTGGCAATTATGGTAAGAATGAGAAAATATTTACATATGCATACATATTTATGCACGTATACTGAATATACATACGAATATGTAAATATATATGTACATACATACATACATCGAAAGCATTATTTATAATTATAACTTTAGCAAATTCTCTTACTTTAACTGACTTATACCGATTTTCAAGCAGATCGTGACTTTATTATATTATCAAGCCAAGAAAGTGAACAGTGAATCATTGAGTCAATTATGGCAAAGTAGAGGCTTCGTCAGCAACACATCACCAAACTTTGTACACTTAAACCTTTGCAGGAGGTTTGGAAGTAGTCCCTACTTTCAAAACGCGGAGGATAAGTTTAAATTCCTGAAGATTCAGTTGCTTTCTTGAAGAACAAGACAGGTAGCTCAGCAAAGAACAGCAAAGATATCGATAAAACAGACCATTGAAGTGATGAATGCGTTGCTAAACATACAGCTCATAAACTTAATAAGGAAACAAAGTGCAGTTCCTGACTGGGAAAATTATCCAGCTTTCTAATAGTACGTAATATTAGTTTTATTTTCTCAGATATTCAGGCTGGTCCAAACCGCAGATCATTTGGCGTGGTAGGCGTAAGAATATACCAAGCAACGATATAAAGGACGTGCATGTAAGGAGGATGCAGTGATTGCTCAAATTCATCAACTCTACATGCTACTTTATGTAAGACGCAAAGGCGTATACAAATCCTGTGCGATGTCATAATGGACTAGATTGAACCCTATTCAGCCTAGCCTAACTTTTCGATACTTATTTTCGCAATAACAAGCAGCCTGGCAGAGCAAACATGAAAACTAACGACCTCGGCGCTGTTAACTTAAAATTATTAGATAAGCGCCGCCTACTTTGAACAATATTATTTGAACAGCTGTAGAAGTCTGGTTAGGCAGAGACTGTATTTCGTAACTTAAGAGGGCGGTATGATATGGATAGTCGAGTCACCGAAGGAGTTTCAGATCTGTCAGCCTCGTCTAGTTTCTTTTAAGGACATTCGAAATATTTATTTATCTGTCATTAATAAACAGAATGCTAACAACGAGTTTATTTTCGAATCGGTACTCATTGCAAGCGATTAGGTTTAGTATTAGAGAATATGCAGCACGTCTTCTAGCGAGAGATCGCTTTCTAAGATGACAGCGTAGAATTTATTGTAAGAGGAAATTTCTAAGACACTTTGTGTGAAACTGTACAAGGATGCCTGGAAAATAGCACTCTTTCATTTCCCAAGAAGAGAGAGGGTTTCTTACTTATATAGAGTCTCCCTTAGAAAAAGATATTTCGCTTACGAGCTCTGATAAGTTGAAGAAACTATTTGGTCATGACCCTGAACCGCAAGCTGTGATGGGAGCTGAGCTTTAAGGAATGGCGAAAAGACGTTTGCAGTAGCCATATGCTGTTCTAGAAAAGTCGTTGACAAGCGTAGGGAGTTCATATGGAAGTCGATCTATCGGCTCACTGGAACTACAGTAAGACTAAACTTTGAACGGAACGAAAGACTTGACAGCTACTTTCTCCTTTTCCACAATAACTGACACATTTTCTATAGAAAAACGAAACCGATTTGTCACTTGATTACTGACAATTTAGGATTTCCTGACTAGAGACCGTCCAAGAGCCAGCTTGCGAAGTCTCGACACCTCATTTGTGGTCTCCAGAGCTCCGCAGAACTCTTGCCAGGATTTTTCTTTTCTTTTTTAAGCTGGTTCTATATTTGTTTCAGTCTTCTTCACGTCGGCAACGTTTAATCTTTTTGAAGAGCTTCCATTCCGTCGACCTAAGTTGACCCAGTTCTTCATTCTACCATACTGGCTTGGACTTTGATCGTATCCGAGATATAGGACAGCTCAGCTCGGAACACTTGGCCAGAACCGCTTTTAGATGATAGTACATTACATAGCATTAATAAGTCAACCAATTTCCAGAAGTATTTTTTTAAGGCAGCAACTATTAACTTTTGCTTTTAAAACAAAATATACTCCCCATCGGTTTCAAGACATCTTGTTTAATAAGCCATTTAAGTTAGGATTTAACCAAAATATTTGTAAGAAAAATACATAGTTATTTAAAACAATTGATTTTAACTTGCGGCTAAAGTGAAAAGTCCGACAAAGCACCAGTAAAAAAACTTAAAATACTGTGTAAACAAACAGAAACTCAACAGAGCACCTAAGGGTAGAAATCTATGAATAAAATGAGGAAAGATGCCACGAAGAAGAAATGGCAAAGGCGTAAAGTGAAAAGTAAACATTTTAAAATAAACTTTCATCCAAGCCAAGAGTGAAGAAGTAATAAACATTGTAAAAAAAACTTTTACAAAAGCAAAACAACAATGAGAACAGCAACGCATAAAACGATGAACACAAATAGCGTTACGTGAGTTCGCTGACTTCAAAAACGGCCAAAGGATTTATTGCTATTCGCCCGCCGACTTACAGCTTTTCTCTTCTCTGCTTCGCATGACTTTTTAATTTAAAATTTTCAACGGAAACTTTCACATACGCATACGCAACAATGCCCAGTGGAAAAATGGGAATGCATTACCTTTTTCCACCAAGGAAAGATTGACAACCACGGTTGAACGAAAAGATGCATGGCAATGTATGTAAGTGAGCGGCTGATGCGCAGTTTGGAAACCATACATAAAACTAAAAGTTTGAGAACTAACTCAACTATAAGGGTATTCAGACTTTCCTCGCTAATGTATTAATTCGTTATCTGGTAACTCGGTAATACTTTCAACTTCGAACGCCCCTTATTCTTTTTCTGGTTGAAATTACTTTCGAATCAGCTGGCGTGAAGTTCTTTTATTTATAAACATTTATTAATTCCACGACAGAAAGGTTTATTGAACTTTCGATAAAATGTATGCACTTCTCGCGGGAGAAAATTCCAGCAAATAAGTGACAGAAAAAATAGCTGACATTTTAACGCGTGTTATTACCGCATTATCTGACTTGTCACCTCGTTAAGTTGGTAATGATATATTCGGTAATATACAAAAACCAAACAATGGTGGGAGTTACCGAATACCGAATTAAGACCTTAACGAGTATAGTCTGAATACCCATTATGTTTTTTTTTCACGTTATCTCAACAGCTGCTGTAGCCGAATGGATGTGTGTTCGACTGCCGTGTTGTTGGTCACGGGTTCAAACCCTGTGGCATAGGCTTTATTTTATTGTTTTCTATACCCGAGCGCACTTGTGCACAAGGGTATTATAACTTTGTTCACATAACGGTTGTTTGTAACAGGCATAACGAATGGAGATATATATAAACAAATGTATACATAAATGATCAGAATGAAAAGAGAAATGGATTAAGCAGTGACTCTCTGTCTGTCCGTCCGTCCGGACATACCAAATGGCCGAAAATTTCTAAATCGAACAATAACTGCGCCCATATCCCATATAACGATAAATGGAAGAGAATTACAAAATCTTCGATAAATCAGTAAATAATTAAAACTAATTTATTCAAAATTTATTTATTTATTGAAATTGAAAACTTCATTTTTGGGGTTATTTCTAGCTCGCGTACATCTATCATCTGAGGGAATTTTTTAGAAAAAAAAAATTTTTTTAAACTAATTTTTTTTTATAAAAAAGAGTCTTAAAATGTTATAAACTTAATATTTCCGATGGGAAAAAGCGCTGTTTTTTTGTATGTAGAGTGATGCCCTCTAATATGACATCAGGGCGGATCAATTTGTATGGGAAATTTTTTCGACTACGCGGGTAAAGCACCGGAGGATTCTATGTGTAAGTCTAAGCAATTTTGTCGAAGAAACCACGAGTCTAAAATCGATTTGGAGTTTGCAGGTTTCATAACATTTGTCTGAAGTGTCGTAAAGAAGTGCTTAAATGTTGTATAAAAACAAGCTATAAGGCATTTATGAAGAATCCATTTCTGCAGTTATCTTTTTCTTAAAACTTCAATCAGAGGGCGCAACAGTGAAAGTTTCCTATTTTATTCGAAATGTATTTTCGCAACTTGCAAACTCCAAATTGATTTTATATCCATGGTTTCTTCGTCATATTTGCTTAGAATTACACCTAGAATCCGCAAATTCTATACACGCATAGTTAAAAAAAAATTTACCCGCCCTAATATACATATGTATATTTAAAATATATATTTTGGGCATTAAACAACTTGTGTTGATATATTTAATCAAATATATGTCAAAAACTTTGCTCGGCTTGAAAGCTTGCTTCAATTTTACACATAATTAAACAATTTAAGAAAAAAAAATCCACAGATTTAAAGAATTTTTGTTTTCATGCATTCCTTTGTCCTTTATTGTCCTTTTTTTGAGTCACAAACGGCTTCTTGCCACAAATGTCTGAAATGTTTCAAGAGTCTTTCTACGCTTTTAAAATATTTTCCATTTCGTTTTCCAAAAGCACACTCAAGTCCTTCCAAAATGTCCTTTTACAATTCAAAAACAAGCAAAAAGCAGCAACACTTCAACATAACTGCGTACCTTCAAAGCCATTTTTTTCACAATTTCACTTTAACTACTTTTGTACTGTTCTGTAAGACTTTTGTTTAAAATAAAAATCGCTTTTAACTTTAGCTTTTCTTTGACAATTTGCGACTTATTTTGCCGTTATGAAGCTTGCAACACCGTTGCACTTGGAGTGGCAATTTGTTGATCAAACGTTTTCAAAAACGCACTAAAAACTGTTTCAATTTCGTATTCTTTGCGTTTATTTATACGCTTGGGCCATCAAGTTGTGGCAGCAGCAGCAGCAGCAGCAGCGGCAACAACAACAACAGCTCTACAGCCCACCAAAAGCGCGCTTATGAATTGAAAACTGTAACTCAGCTGCAGAAACGAGTTTTATTGTTTTCGATTTGTTTTTCTTGCACAGTTTTCCGGTGCAAAAAATTTTTTATAACAACGCATGAGCTGCGTTGGATTACATGCAGACATACAAAAAATACATATGTATACATATATGCATGTCTGCAGCTATGCTGCTGCACCAAATCAGCAACAACAGCCTCATATTTGTAGCAGCATTAATGAGAGCAACAACAGTCAATAGATAGCAGCAATAACAACAACAGCAACTAAAATTGTTTTGGCTGCAACAATACCTACATACAGGCTTAGCATAGCCAAGCCGCCTTTGCTCGCTGCTGTCACTGCTGCACGATTTTTCAGCGTACACTTGGCAAGTTGCAAGTTGTAAGTAAGTTGGGGTGGCGGCTTAGGCTTAAATGATTGCAATTTGATTTTAAATTTATTTTATGCATTTATGTTTTGTTTTTGTTAGATATACTCGTACATAGATATCTGCAGATTTATAGCAAAAAAAAAACAATGCGTTTTGTGGGGCGTGTGTACGTAAATATTTTGAGTATATCAATCTTACGAACTGGGTGCGTGGAAATGCTATGGAAATACAGTACTACGCTAAGAACTTTAAATAATTGAATGGTGTACATGTTCGTACTTATGTCTGTCGCGGTAGACGGCGTCACTAAAATAAATAAATATAAGTAGCTTCAGATTGTAAAATATATCGCCTAATGTCCCAATCCGGCCACATGAATACTGCTTTGTTGAAAATTCCAAGATATATAGGTTAGGCTAGGTTATTCTGGCCTACCCCACGTAGACCAATAGGTCCCTAGTGATGCCAGATGGAGATAAAGGTGTCCTTTGGCTATAGAACTGTGGCCAGTATTTCTTTGCTTGAGCTCCCTTTATGCAATCTTTCCCCTCGCTTCCTTAACCGCAAAGCTCTTTGCTAGAAGGTCGATTGGTGGTATATTCAGAACTTTGTCTAGTCCAGTCGTTGGAGTTGTTTTCAGTGTTGCTCTTGTACACAATAATGAGGGACGTCGAGCGCCCTCCATTGTCTTCTGATAAATGATTATTTCGGTTGCAGTCCACCAATTAGCGTGCCACAGAGTAATATTGGCCTCACCGTTGCCGTGTAGTACCAACGCATTAGGGCAGGGGATAGGCCCCAAATAATTTCCAGCACCATCACTCCTCCTAATTGCACTTCCACAGCATTTAGGGAGTTTCCACGAAAAAATGTTGTACCTGCATTAATCCCTAAACATGCCCGAGTAGTCCATTTATATTTAGTATTTAGAGTTCCATTCATTTAATCACTTATGGTGTTTAGGTATTTCCATGCCAATATTACTCCAATGTCATGGACAACTAGTTTGGGTGTCTTTCCTTCAAATTTATTTTGTAGTTCGTTTAACACGAGTAGCCAAAGAAGCGGTTAGAGTACCCCTCCCTGTGGTGTACCTTTTACCGCATGCTCAGTTAGCCTGGCTTCATCCAATTTTTCTATAATTCGTTTACAGTATAAAAGCTGTTCTTATCCATAAAATAGTAGCAGGTTCCACATTGTTTGCTTGTAAACTACCCAGCATAGCTTACATTGATACATTATTAAAAGCTCCGCCGGTGTAAGTCTTATGTAAAATATCTCCATCTAGTCAGACAGTCAGGCGACACTCAAAGCACATGCAATTCAAAAACCTTAGCGCAGATCCTTAAAGGAGACAGCTGGTACATCTGCGTAGGCATGTCGCTTACTACCTCCAAGCCCATTCTAAGGCGTTCACCTCTTAAACGTGCAACGGTCTGCTCATGCTGGGAAAAAGGGAGTTAGCCACAGCCATGAGCCTGCTAACAGGCCATTTAGCCATCGAAAGGCGCGCAACGAGATTAGGGGTTCCCCAAAATGGCAGAAGTTTCAGAAATGAGGAGGGGCCATAAACCTTCCTTCAACTGTTATCCGAATGCCCCGCACTCTGTAGAAGAAAACGAAAATTCATGGGGTAAAATCTTTTCGAAGGTTTAACCTACAAAGCTGCAACTTTTAGGTTTAGCAGACGTTGTGGTTCCAGCCCAGTTTACGATCAACATAGTTTTCTTTTACATAGTTTTCATAAATACTTCTGTTGGTATGAGTCATAGATAGGTTTTATTTAGAAAAGAGTAAAGAAAAATAAATCCAAATTTTTTTTTTACCCAAATAAAAATCAGTGAAAAATTCACGTGTGATCTTAACTTTTGCCTGTTTTTAATACTCTAGGCACTAGGTAAGACTCCGAGTTTACTTCTGCCATAAAAAAGCTCCTTCGGAGTAGAGGTTTACGCCGACTTTAGAAAGAATCGGCGGCGGCGGCGACGCCGGCGCGTCTAGAAACGCCGGCGCGTCTAGAAACCATAAGGCAGATTCCAAGGAGCCATAAGGCTTCTAACCTTATCATGTCATCAGATTATAATTCTATTTAATTCATTCATTGAATTCAAATGTTGAGTGACTGCTGCTGATGAATGGGCGAACAAAAGAAAGGCTATATAGTATATACATTAGGTTTCCCATCGACAATGCTTTTTTTGAAAATTTAAAGACCCTACCCCCTAATTTGATTCGTTTTTTATGAGAAATGTTATTGCGTATTTTTATAGATTTTTTAAAGGCCATTTAGAGGTCGCAGCCTGTCGATTTAGGTCAGAAAATACGATTTTCTAGACTCATGAGTTTTTGAATGACTATTTTTGGTTGAATTTCAAAGAATTTTTTAAATTTTGACCATCGATAGTTTCCACAATTTGAAAATATGTAGTACTAACGTACAAAAAAACGATTTTCGATGGGCACCCTAATATACATACATCTCTTCTATGTACTCTACAAATCCGTATGTACTATTTCAATTCAAACAAATAAAAAAATTTAAAGTTTAAGTTATTGGGGTAATTTATGTCGCTATCAACAAATGTTTGCAATAAGCTTATCAACCGTTATGTTAAATTACGGAGTGCTTACGATTTTTTGCGGGTTATATATTGAAAATAAGGTTGGCCTACTTTTTTTCAAAAGTTTAACCCATCAACTCCCACCAGAACGGGCCTTTTTGACCCACTGTTTGAAAAATGGCTTAAAAATAGTTAAATTTCCACTACTATGTTAAGCGCCAAATTTTTTTAAGGAGAACAGAATGTAATGCAAAATAATAGTAATTTTTACCAAAAAGGGGCACTTTAACTCTGTATAGAAAATATTGCGATGCGCGGCAGCAAAACCTTCCTGGGGTTTGACCACTACTTAGGAATACTAACGTAATTTTCACACAGCCACCTAGTTCTTGTATACGTCTGTGGGACCCCAGAATAAAGTAACTTAAAAAATTAGCAAAAAAAGTGTTTGCTTTTTATTAAAATTCTGTTGAAAATATTAAAAAAAACACACAGGAAAATCAACTAGTCTTTAGTTGTGTTTTCGTATTCTCCAGCAAAAAATATCTAGTAACTTGCCAGTAACCAAAATTCGGAGAGTAAGCCAATATTTACTCCCAATGAGTGAAATACGCAAGAAAGTACGAAAACGCAAAACCAGCAAGAAGTTGCTAGTTTTATGAACAGCTGATTAATTTGTCAATTTCCGATGCATTTTTCTTCGAAAACTAATATTTTCCATCTTATTATATATTTAAATGGGTTTATTTTGTCAATTGCAACTCTAAAAGCACCACAAACAATTATTTTGTTAATGTGAATTACATTAAGCATCATGCCATCAGCTGTTTCTCTTACTAGCAAATAGTTGCTAGTAAAAATTTATCCAGTAAAAATCCAGTAAAACTTGCAAGTTCAGCTGTCATTTCTGCTCTCTCAATTTCCCCTCTTTTGCTAGTTTCTTGCAAGTATTTGCGTACGAAAACGACATCCAGTAAAAAACCAGTAAAATTAGTACTGGATTTACGGGATAGTGCGTACGCGAACAGGGCTTTTGTTTTATCTCCAATAATTGAGGAGTTAGATGCAATAAGGGCGCTTCTGTTAAAACTGCTTTCTGAGATATTGGCGTTAAAGTTTTTGATGTGTATAACTTTCTTGTTGCTGTAGTATATAAACAAGTAGTATTGAAAAAAATTGTCTACTGCGGAAAAAATCGTCAGATTACCATTACTAATTTAACTGTAATAAACGCTTTCGATCGAAAAACGTGTTACCTATGTTTTTTTCTGAGTTACGCTTTTTTTTTAAATCTTCAGTGGCCCAAATTATGCAAAAAACACTTATTTTAAAAATGTAATTTTCATTTCGTAAAATAGTGTTTTTATACGAGTAGTATTTAGTTCCTTCAAACGATGTATTTCAATATGCATACAACATGAAAATTTTGTACAAAAATCCTTAGGCGCCGAACGCCGCCGCCGCCGCCGCCGCGCCGATATTTTCGTAACTCGGCGGCGGCGCGTGAGAAATGACAAAAAACGGCGGCGGCGGCGGCGTGGCCCGGCGGCGTATACCTCTACTTCGGAGGTGGAGTAAAAGTGAAGGTCTCTCCATTTGTGTCCGCACATAAAGAAGCAGTGCATGAGTTGGAGACGCCCCGCCAAGCTCGTAGAAAACATTTAAGCGTCAAACATTAATTTATTGGAATCAAATATGATATGCTGTTCATCCCGAAATAACCCTTTTCCCTTAAACTGGAAAAAGCCTTGAAAACTTCGAAAAACTGAAAAATTTTATTAAGAGGTCAAAATTTGTATGAAATAAAAAAAATGGTTTGTTCCGTAAAAAAATCCGGCTTATCCGATGTTCGAAAAGTTAATATCAAAAAATAAAAAAATAGATATCAAAAAACAACACAGTGGAAACCGTTTGGAA